GCGCTCTTCACCCTCAAAGTTTGAGGCTCAAACCGAACGTCAACATCAGCAGGACAAACCACAGGTTCTCTCGCGATCGGTGCAGATGGTACACAAAGGAACAAGGCCCTTATATACCAGTGTCGCGTGCCCCCGAGCATTGACTGAAGCGGGGATGACGAGTAGCAGAGCACGTGTACCCCTGATCTGGTTGGGATAGTTCTATCTGACCGGCCAATCACCAGCACTGACACCAGCATTTCTCGAACCAACACCTTTCGAGCCGTTGATAGAGTCGTTCGGCTCACTGGAATGCTTCTTACGGCTTCCCTGTCATCTCATCCATCCGCTTCTCGAACATCCAGCGCTCGATGACCTTGGCGCAGATGTCTCCCTTGAGGTCCTCAAAGTCCTGATGCTCCGCCACACGCAGTCCCTGATCGGCCTTCTGCTTGAGCTTCTCTGCTTCCTTCACCAGCGCCCTGATTTGTCTCCTGACAGCAGCCTCCAGCTTGATATGCGCGACCTTCAGGACCTCCTCAAGCTCTGCTTTGGAGAGCTCGGCGGACCATACTTGCTTGTGCATGGAGTCGCCTTCGGTGAAAGCAGAGGCCGGCTGCTTGACAGTGCCCTTCATTCGCTCGACCGCCGACGGCTGCCTTCCCGCTTCGTTGCTCGACATGATTGATGCGGATATCACCAAGTAGGTACACCCGACCAATGCTACCGTGGATTTGCAGATGCCTAAGCCGCCCTTGATATGGTTGCTGGCACTCTTTGTAGGAATTACAGTTGCTTGCTGGCTTGCTGCTCGGGCTAGTCGAACTCAGTTGGTTTGTCGGTACAATGTATCAGTCACGATTCGGCCACAGCATGACCAAATCCCACCTGCTGCAGGAAGCAGCACCTGATGCCTGGCGTGACGTGGTCACTGCGAAGGAGCAAAGCCGACATATTGTGCCAGCGGGCATTTGCTTGATGAGTTGCGGCAACAGAGGCCTACCCGTGCCTTGTAGACTATGATTAGCTGGACGGGGATGTGAGCCATTGTCATGGCCGGCTTGAACATCTCGTAATGGGAGGCAGCGGAAGGCTCTGCGTGCAGGTCACCGTCCACGCTCAAACCACAATCACATCTGGCAATGTTTGTTCGTTCGTTTGTTCGTGCACAGCTCCTAGATTGATCAAGAAGTATTCATGATCCATACGAGACAGCTCGAGTCGCCCAACTCCAACTATGGGAGACCCACGAGTGAGTTCGAGGACAGACGCATCTCGGCTTGAGTGAAGCGGCGTAAGCAAACAATGGGCCATATCAAACCACAGGTGCCGCCTGCCAGCCTGAGGATAGAAAAACGCTTGTCGTTGCCTGCAGCCAGCTCAGGTACAGCGCCGGGCCAGACGAGCTTCGCAGGTGCGTCGCAAATCAAGCCAGTCGTTTCAACGCACGCCGCCACATATACCATCCCCGCTTTACTCAATGCGCTATCACCTCGTCGTTACTGCCCCATGCCCTGCCACCGTCGCAACCCCATTCTGCGTGCGCCATCCCCAACAGCTTCTATTCGCAACCTCACCCTGACCAGCCTGATGGTCAGAAACCTGCACCTTTCTTTGAAGGTCATGACTCCGAGCGTCGATGGAATGCGCCATCCCATGAACACCGCCGCGATCTCCCACTGCATAATCCAAGCTTCGTCGCCGACTTGCTGCAGGTAGGGATCAGGCCAGACATCGTAATAGGATGTGAGAACATGCGTCAATGTGACCTCGGCGAAGATCAGGGCCTGCTTCAGCACTTCTTCCGTGACTCGGGTGTTGGAGAGAGCGAGTGAAAGATCGGAAGAGTTGCGACGATTGGGGTGATCGATCAAGCGGTTGATCTGCGTGAGCGAATCTCGTTGCCGCCAGGTCAGGCGTGGCCTTGCCATTCGGATTCTCTCTGGTTGCGCAGTTGCTGGAGAGCAAGCGCAGGTCGAGGACAGTGTATAACGTGTCGATCTGTTTGTCCGGGTCAACTGCGTGCCCTCGTGGTAAACACTTATTACGTGTCGTGTTTTATGATATCAAGTGACCGGACGAGACTGAAGCTTTGCTGCGACTGGCAAACCAAACGGCCAGCAATGAAGGTCACTTCAGATTAATGTCCAGTCATTGCTGATTATCGCATCTGAAATGCTTGCTGCCAGCCTTTCTGATGTCACGAGGGTGGTAGTCGCCCGGCCACCAATGTACCATCGCGAGCTATCACCGTCACTTAGCCTCCCACAAAGTCCAGGACACTAACATCCCTTTGCACGACCACAGCACCACTAGGCTTCAGTCGCCGATAGTACCCCTTCTCCATCCCCAACTCCTTGAAACCACGCTTCCGGTACCACTCCAATCCGTCGGCATTAGCTTCCCAGACATGTGCACCTACACTGTTGATGCCATAATCTTCGACAGCTCGCTTGGAAAGAACATTTAGCATGTGTGAAGCGATACCATGGCTCCGGTACGGAGACAGCAGGACCAGGGTGGAGAGGTAGAGCATTGGCCCGTCTTTCCTCGAGCCACTGGAGAAAGACGCATCAGTGGCAGATGAACATGGCGGGTGAGCGAAGAGTCTGCACCTGATGGCGCCGACAAGACGGCCCTTCTCTTTGCCCTTTGTTGCCGGGTCGTCGTGCCAGGTGGCGAGTAGCGTGATGTCATTGGTAAGTGAGTCTTCGAGGATCTCGCGGTAGAAGCTGTCCGGGTATCGGATAGGAAGTAACAGGCTGTTCATCTGCTTGAAAGCGGGTATGTCCTCTTTGGTGCATTTGCGGAGGTGGACGTTTGGCGGCAGAGATGGACGGGTAACTTTTGGATTGGCCTTCGAACCGGTACTCCATGATATCGCCTCGGTCCGTGTGGCATGCTCGCTGCCGTCACTATCTTCTGGGGTCGACTGCGGTGGTGTCGGGAGCAGCGCCTTAACAATGGCGTCCTTCTCAGAAGTCCGGGCTGTCTCATCCGTGGACACTGTATCCTTAGGAGCTTGTGGGACAGCTGCTGGCTTCTTGAGCCATGCCGTCAACGATGACTGAGGCATCGTCCCTTATCGCCATCTGCGCAAGCCCAGGTACTGGCCAGTCAAGCGATGTCAACGCGTTGAAGTCGCGTTGAAAGTGAGATGACTGCTCGGGGATGCGGCGGAGATTGTTCGGCCGATGCCGCGGCTTCCCAAAAGTTGCCAGAAACAGCTCCGTTGCAGCCGGCGAAAGAGCAGTGCAGTGTCTCTACACACCTTGCAGCGCGTACCAATGGGCAACGGTGGCTCCAAGCCGGAGCAACACATCTTCACCGCGTGCGGAAAGCCCCACGAATGCCAATGCCGGCTGCACATGCTGATACGAGATTAGCGATGCGCCAGTGAGCTTCAGCCAATCCGTCCTCGACTCCCTTCAGCGCAACCCTGAGGTACACCGTCGCATACACCAGCAGCCAACGCTTGAGTACTTACACTATATAGACCGACTCCACCCGCGCTCGGCAAACTGAGCTCAACGTCCAGTCCCGAGTGAACAGCGAGCTCGCCCGCATCCGCGACGCCCAAGCCAAGCAGCTCGCCGACCTGACCGCCTCCCTCACCACCAACCCGCCCTCGGACAAGACACCCGCACCTACAACCAGCCAGCGCGATCCGAACAGCCTCGCTGCCCACCTCAGCAGCCCTTTCTACCAAGACCATAGCCCTTCCAAGCCCGTCAAGCCCGTAGTAGACACCCCAGCAGATTCAGGCCGAAGTCGCGATAGCGTACAGAAGGAGATCATGGATCTCAGACAGAAGCTCGACGCGCGCAAGAAGGTGGAGAAGACGAGTCCGGAAGTGGAGAAGGCGAAGGAGAAGGTGGTGCAATGTCTCCGCGCGCACGACCGGAGATCGCTGGACTGCTGGCAGGAGGTGGAGCAGTTCAAGGTGGAGGTTGGAAAGCTCGAGAAGAAGTTCGTGGACAAGGTTGGCGGGCGGTAGCATGTCGGAGGCCAAAAGGCAGGGATGCACGATGAGGCTGCGAGCGGTGCACAGGGGAGGGGGTGTACGTTTATTGCCCTAGTGTACAGTGTCACGATGACTCCAGACCCTTGACTACGTGCCAAAATCTGGCGTTCAGGCAGCCTATTCGGCGTTACTATCTTGAACTCACTCGAAGGTGCTGCGATCTGTCGGCTCGTCCAATCCGAGCTCCAAACTTCGTGGATAGGAAGCCGAGTCGAGGATGGTACTTCTCCGCGACAACTCCGTACCAAACTATGGCGTTCAGGCAGCGCATCCGGCGTTACAAGCTTGAACCCGCTCGAAAGCGCTGCGATATGTCGGCTTGTCCAACTCAAATTCCCAAACTTCCTGGATAGAAAGCCTAGTCAAGGATGGTACTTCTCCGCGACAACTCCGTCACTGACGCAACGTATTCGCCACCAGTAGTCCGATTGTGGTAAAGCCAACATGGTCGACCTTCGAGCGAATGTCGTAATCTCATGTGAGGTTTGCGGCGCTGTATAGGGATTTTAGCAGTTGACTTTACGACGCTATATAAGGCGTTTAGCAGATGAGGTTTGCGGCGCTATATAGGGCGTTTAGCAGGTACAATGCAAGCTAGTTACATGGCGTATAGAACATTGGATGTAGAGTCGATACTTTCGGAGTCGAATCATGTATCACGTCTATCTACGTCAACAACTATAGCAGCAGCGGCGACGAGGTAAAAACACCAAGTTGTATAGTAGCGAGACTGAGCAGACTCGTTACTAAGATCCTAAAAAAGACCTTCTGTTTAACAACATCCACTCCTGACCACAGCGTGTTCTTTGTACCAGATAGTGTTAGAGCGACAACCAAAGCTGCAGTCAAGCCTACTGCAATGTCGGGGTTGCCAAGCCTCGAGATTTACCCTAGCTCGACTCGGCAGGTACCCGCTCTAAGCTCACACACCCTTCCAAGATGGGTACAGTTGGACCAAAAATGATCGTACCACTGCTCTGGCATGAACAAAAGGTGATGGACAAGCCGGGAATCGAACCCGGGACCTCCTCCAAGCGATTCCTAACGTTCAAGACGTTTGTGATATGCTAAGAAGGCATTATACCCCTAAACCACTCGCCCATTTGATGTAATATTTCGCCGCATTTGCAAATATAATGCTGGCATTTGCATCCGAGCTTCTACCGTCCTGGAACGCTGCTCTGAGGTTCATATTGGCTAGGAGCCCAGGCATATCCCTCAGTCTACAGCCTTCCGACAACGTAAGCTACGCTGAGCCCTCGCCCATTTTGTGCAACTCTCGAAACATTCAGCTGGAGACTTGGACACGCGGCGCAATCCAGGGTACTACAGATCACGCACTTGAAACGGAGAGATTCGTTGGGTTTGCATTTCAATACCGCGTAGCTATGATACACTACTAGCGTTCAAAGCAGGGCCATATAGAGCAGTCGCTAGGCGTGAGTTCCAACTTTTGGCCGTGGACCGTGCATACTACCGTTGCCGTCCTTGACGCCGTGTCTCACTAAGAGTGCAAGCTACAGTGTCTTTTTCGCTGCAAGGATTGCTCGCCGGCCATGAACAAGCTGCTAAGGGCAGGTTTGCTTCGCTTACTCCACCTCGCCCTTGCTCTCAAAGTTCTCGCCCTCCACCAAGTCCGGGATCTCCTCATCATCGTCATCACCGCCGTCCTTCTTCTCCTCGCCCTCACCGCCCTTCTGCAGGCTCTGGTACGACTCAGCCAGCTTCCTCAAGCTCGCCAACGAATCTGGGCCCAGCTGGTTCAGGATGCCCGGGACAAGCTCCGTAAGCTCCTTGTCCTCGCCGGCGCCGTAGAGCGCAAAGGTGTTTGACGGGACGGATGCGTGGACTAAGCAGTCGTGTCAGTCGAGCCGTTCTTCCTCAAAAGTGGCAGCATAGCCTGCAGTCTCCGACCACTCTGCCTTGCTAGTATAGCCGTAGCTGTACATACCCTTTGGCGCGCTGAAGTGAATGACGTTTCCATCGCTCTTGAACATGTTGACCTCCTCAATCGCCGTAATGGGCTGCACGTTCATCTTCTTGAGTGTAGTCTGCAGCTTCTTGTCGTCGGTGCCGGACGTCTTGTGGACCTTCTTAACCTTTCTCCGTGGAGTACCCTTGCCGCTGTATCACCCTGTCAGTACTTGTCCAGACACACGTCTTGTCCATCATGCGCGCCCTGCTTTTGGCCCGTCTAGCGTGGTTGTGGCACGACGATGCACGTGATATCGAGGTGTACGGCGGTGGGCTAAAGGTAGGGGATGTCGCGCAGGAGGTGTCTCGATGAGAGATGACCGCGCTTACCCTAAATTATTTGGTCAGTCCTCACGTGTCCAAACCTGCATAGTGAGCCCGCGGAGAGCTTCAGCAGCATCCTAGAAGCAAACGTACCGATGCGCACCGCATTTTGCATGCGAGCCAGCTTTTCGTGATCCATGATGGCAGTGGTGGAGAAGTGGGTCACTCGGTGAGTGGTAGGGGATGGATGTGAGGAATGGGCGAGGACGTCTCAGTTGCTGTTGGAGTCGCGGCAGCAAGGTCATCGACAACCGGTATAGAGGCTTGGAGCTCGTCTTGACGGCCTTGGCGTTGTGCGTCTCCAGCCTAGCACGGCTCTTTCCGCCTCTGTGCGACTTCGCCCGGCTCGGCCCGCTCCCTGCGGCCGCCATCCTGCTGCTGACTGTGCGTCGACGGCATCGATCTCTTCTCATCACCATCGTGTTTACTTATCCGACTCGACACGATCACGATCGCATGACCGATGCTTGCTAGATTGGAGGCGTGAAGCAAGACTGCCATCATCCGTCCGTTCTATCACGGTACCTTATCACTACACCATGGCTGGCCAATGGATCGACGTTCCGCCCTGTACGGCCGCAGTGCGGAGAGATTTGGCTTCCGATCCGGTGCACAACCGGGAGACGAAGTCAACAACGCCATGTTCCCTTGATTTTGGTGTTCACTACATAAGTGACCCGAGCCCCGTCAAGTATTGATAATCCTGCTTACAAGGTAGAATCGCCATTGCTACCGCGGGACTCGACCAAAGAGCGTCGGACCAGAGAAATTGCTCTCCTGCCTTCCATCTCTCAAGCTTGACCTCTTACTCGGTCGTTGAACACGCCGAAAGCTGCATCTGTATTCGAACCGCTGGTGATACTATTCCCTAGACGACAGGATGCTCGAATGGCTGGTGGGAAAGTCCTTTTCTCCGGAGAAGGACATCTCTAGCTTGAGTGGCAAAGTCATATTGGTAACAGGAGGTACGCGCAGTCCCATACCCTCAGGATGGACAGTCTGACTGATGAAACGCAGGCAATACTGGACTAGGCAAGGAAACCATCCTCCAGCTCGCCAAGCACAACCCCAAGGAAATTTTCCTTGCGGCCCGCACGCCTTCCAAAGCAGAGGCAGCTATAGAGGACATCAAGAAAGCCGTCCCCAACAGCAACATCTCGTTCTTGCAACTCGACCTGACGTCCTTCTCCGCCGTCAAGAAGGCGGCCGATGACTTCAAAGCACGCTCCGACCGTCTCGACATCCTGATTAACAATGCCGGAATCATGGCAGTGCCATGGTCCACGACAAAGGAAGGCTACGAAATCCAATTCGGCACGAACCACATGGGCCACGCTCTTTTCACGAAGCTCCTTCTCCCGACCATGCTCAAGACGGCCGAGCAGCCAGGCGCCGACGTCAGGATTGTCAACCTCTCCTCCGAGGGCCACCAAATGGCGCCCAGTCCAGGCATCATCTACAACCAACCCGACCTGGAGAAGTGCGCGACCTGGACGCGCTACGGGCAAAGCAAGCTCGCCAACATCCTGCACGCAAAGGCGCTGCAGAAACGCTACCCATCCATCACTACCACATCCCTACACCCAGGTGTGATCATCACGGACCTCTACGCCACCATGAGTGGCTCCTACGTTGCCGCCAAAGCTTTCACCGCGGTGGCGAGAGGTGTGACTTCGCTGGGTATGTTGTACGACGTGCCAAAGGGAGCCAAGAATCAGCTTTGGGCGGCGACTGCATCGAAAGAAGAGGTGCGCAGTTCGTATTACTGGAAGCCGGTTGGTGCCAAGAGTGGAGGGAGCAAGTACGCGCAGAATGACGAGTTGTCAGAGAAGCTATGGGAGTGGACTGGAGATGAATTCAAGAAGCACGGTTACTGAGCAATACGTTGGTTTGAAGAGTCGCGCCATTTCATATAGGTTAGATCTACAGCATCATAGGGGAAATAACCGGCAAGATCCTTAATCCGACCGTTAAAGTCAGAACTTGCTGATGTGGGAAAACTATGTCGTTTCTCTCTTTTGTTCCTCGCACGTACGCTACATGCTCAAGTCGATGCGATCTCGTTGCCGTGTTGCCCTGACAACGGCAACGTATCGGGCTGCAGTACAAGTTCCGACCATCGAACATACCGGGATCTGCTACGGAGACCTAGGACTCGGACTCGGAGGCCGCATCGAGCGACTCGAAAGACGGCAGGGAACGCTGCTGCTCACTCTCCCTCCGCGCGATTTCGGCGTCCACAGCGAGCTTGAATTTCTTCGCCTTCTGCTTCTTCTTCTTCTCCTTCGACCTCTCCCTCTCCGCCTCCGACTTCCCCGTCTCGCTCTGCCCCTGCTCACTGAGACCGCCAGACATCAGCGACTTTGGCCCGTGGTACTGCAAGTTGCGCTGCAGCACTGGTGCTTCGCCAATGGCCTGCGGCTGCGAAGCCACGAGACCGTCCCCGATCACCGCACCCAAATTTGCTCCGAGCTGCCAAGCTTCGTCTGCGTTCATCCCCGCGAGGTTGAAATGGTTCACCGTACCCCCAGGTTGAGTGTTGGTGATGAAGGTGGGCACTGCGGCTGGCGCAGCGGCAGGGCGACGTTGGTCGCGGCAGAACCTGGACAGGTGCCACTTCCTACCACAGTTGTCGCAATGGGCCCTGGGTTGGGCGCACCCACGCCTCGGACAGTCACCTCCGCAGTTGACGCAGACCATGATGATGCCCGATTGCTTGTGATTGAGAATTGGTATCTGGTTGAGTGATCGATTGTTGGGGTTGCTTGGATGGTGTGTGGCAGGTGTGTGCAGACGGTGTTGTGTGTCGTTGGCTCCAAGAGGACAAGGAGAAGCGGAAAAGGGTGCGGAGGAGTTTTCGCTCGGGTCTCGCCACCGGTGGGTGACCAGCGGCAACGCTAGAAATACCATAGCAACGGCTTTCGTTTAGGAAAGAGCAACCACCATCAGCCAGGCTTTCCGACTTTTGCTCTGCTCTTCCATTTTGAAAGGAACCTTCATGCCGTCAAAGTCGTCTAGCGCCTATACAGCGCTGTGAATCTCACCTCCGCAAGATTCGATTTCCTCCTCTCTTATACGCTGCTCCAGTACTTCAAGCGACACAGTTGATACGGAGATAAAGAAGCTGACCTCATAATCTACTTACGGAGCAAGGTACCTAGAGACGACGATAACAAGCACCGTTACTGTACCTGGGGAGGACGTCTACCGGATTCCCGAGCGATTGCCATTCTACACAGAACATAGTAATATAGCGAAAGCAATTTGTTAGCGAGCGCGTGATTGCCAGCAGTCTCTCCGCGTACGGGACTTCCATGCCATAAATCTCAGCCATATTCCCCGAACACAAACGCCCTCAAACAATCCCACATTACTCTCCGTTACATGTCGTAAGCTCCATTCACATCAGTCGTAGACTCGCTGCACAGCAACAGCTCTCATCGCAATCGAACCAAACGGCTCCTCCTGCTCGACCTGCAGCAAGTTCTTCGTGCCGAGCGCCAGCACATGCAGCAAAGCCTGTGCGGCAACGATCCGACTGTTACTCTCCGGCGGCAGCAAATCTCCGAACTCGATACTCCCGTTCACAGCCTCGTCGTCTTCATCACCTGTCCCGGCTTGCTCGCGCACCTGGTCCGCTTCCTCAATGCCCGCCCGCACAAACGCAAGGAAGTTGACGCTCTCGCTGTCGAGAATAGCGCGCTGCCACTGCGACTGAGCCGCTGTCTGCGTATCCACCTCTGCGGCTGGACCGAAGAGCTCGAAGTCGTCTAAGCCCGTCATGTCGACATCACCGGGTCCAC